ACCATCCATCATCGCTACATATAATTCATCCATACATATAACAAGATCCATCATCACTACATATAACACCACCCATCATCACCATAACACCATCCATCATCACATATAACAACATCCATCATCATCATATAACACCACCCACCATCAACATACATACATAACACCATCCATCATCACATATAACACCATCCATCATCGCTACATATAACACCATCCATCATCACTACATATAACAAGATCCATCACCACTACATATAACACCATCCATCATCACCACCATATAACATCATATTCCATTGTCACTACATAACACCATCCGTCATATCTACATATAACCATCCATCATCACTATAACACCATCCATCATCGCTACATATAACACTATCCATCATCGCTACATATAACAATCATCCATCAATACATATAACAATTACCCATCATCACTAATATAACACCATCCATCGTCACTACATATAACACCATCCATCAACACCATAACTAAAACAATACATCATCAAACTACACAAAACACACACATACTTCTTTTTTATATATATATATATATATATATATATATATATATATATATATATATATATATATGTATATATATATATATATATATATAAATATATATAAATATATATATAAATATGTATATATATATATATATATATAAATATATTTAGATACACATACATACATACATATATATATATATATATATATATATATATATATTATATATATATATATATATATATATATATATATATATATATATTATATATATATATATATATATATATATATATATATATATATATATATATATATATATATATGTAAATCAGTCGGAATTACTGGACTTTATTTTCACTTGACTTGGGGTTTATTAAAGATTATTAAGATGGTAATGGCAGTGGAAGTGCCCCTTTGGAGAAAAATCCTAACCAGCACAAGAACACTTAAATCTACTAAACAAAATGAATTGTCCGTGACCTGTGGAAGGATAGCGTCTGTGACTGGGATGAATGAGACACACTGTAAAATTTAGACACTTATATTCCTCCAACACTACAAACACAATCAAATAATGGTACACCAATATGCGCACCTCTTAACTTGAACTTAAACACTACTCTGGGGAATAAAAGTTATACATGATAGAAATTATTAGAAACTCAGGCAACAATAAATTTGAAGTATTAAGAAATGTTGTTACATTACGAAACAGGCCTTAAGGGCTTTCACAAAATAATATCATCACTTAGAAATGGTATTAAAAAATAAGAAATTAAATACTCACAATGAATAGGCCTTAAGGGTCAACAAAAATAATACAGTCACTGAGGAATGATAAAAAGATAAGAAATTAAATAATCCACAATGAATAGCCTTAAGGGCTTTCAACAAAATAATATCAGTCAATGAGGAAATGGTAATAAAAATAAAATTAAATACCTACAATGAATAGACCTTAAGGGCTTTCAACAAATAATATCAGTCACTGAGGAAATGGTATTAAAAATAAGAAATTAAATACTTACAATGAATAGGCCTAAGGGCACTCAACAAAAATTATATATCACCCCAACAGATGCACACTTCCTAACCTAACTTAAACACTACTCTGGGGAACAAAGGTTATACCTGAGATCGGAATTATAAAGAAAAATTAAATGCATTAAAGAATCAAATCACAGTATCACTCTGGTTCCACTTAGTGACACAAACATTCAAAACAATACTATCAAAATTGTTTAAGAAATATTAAACTACACACGTCATGATGATATCAGTAACTGAGAAATGGTATCAACTACACCCAAATATATTGTCACTATTATTGGTTTGTTACTGGTCCACCAATACCCGTGAACCATGCTCCACCCAACTCAACATAACCTACAATAAGGGATAACATGTTCCTCTAGGTACCTAGACTCATGGTCTCAGTGTGGGGACCTGTATCACTAGCTGGCCTCACTTTACCCGCAGTAATCCATAAACGGAAGGGAGTGAGCAATCAGACCTGGTAGTTGAGAGAAGCTTTAGCTTCCCGTTAGCAAGAGGGTTTCACTAAGCTGCTCGAGACATGTGGTGTTGTGAGCCGAGGTAGAGGAGAGCGATGCCCCAACGATCGTCCTGTCGTCAGCTGGGCACCCAGACGGCTAGATTCCTCAAGAGATCCTTGATACCCCGCCAAACAGTGACAGCCCAACTGATCGGTCCAATGGCGACAATCGCCACCCTCAATCATCAACGGCAGTCTCAAACGGCAGTCAATCTCGCAGTCAAACCCGGTCAACTCCGGCCAAGGGTTCTGAAAACCCTGAAATGAACTCACTGGTAGCTCTAGTTTACTTTACCACTGCCCTATCTAACCTTGTCGAGATCGAATGAGATTTACTTGTTATACTGCAATAGCGCAGCACAGGTGACTAGGCCACGGATTATTTCAGACGGACGCGAGACGTCTTTGTTTGTCTGAATGCTCCCCGTGACTGAGGACCAGCCAGCGTCGCGTCTCTCTCAAGGCGCTAGCTAGCCTACGTGACATAGCTTTTCCAGCCTAACTAATAACCCTGGGACACCATAACATTATTCAGACTAACGATCTATAATAACTTAAATTCAATAGTCCTTAATCATGAATCGCATCATTATTAATTCGGCAAATTACATTTAATATCATATAGGCCTAGTTCCACAACCTCTCGCTAAAGTGCAGGGAGCGCTCTTCCTCAGACGACCTTGAACGCTCAGTATCGCTAATGGCAGGGCATTCGAAATTACTTCGAAATTTTAATATTACATATATATATATACTTCACTTTTTAGTCCATAACACGCGAGATTTTGAACATATATTCACGATTAGTTAGGAATTTGAATCCTCATTTCCACTGGGTGACTAGGGAATGCTAATGACCATTTCCCCAGTCCCACCCAGTAGGTCGAGGGTTCGATTCTGGTCATTGGTGAGGTGTCGTTGATATATATATATATATATATATATATATATATATATATATATATATATATATATATATAATATATATATATATATATATATATATATATATTTCATGTAAATCCACAATGAAACGGATAAGATATCTTGAATAAAGACGAAATAAAGTACCTGCTGTTTCCATTTTCCCGATTATTAAGATATATATATATATATATATATATATATATATATAGAAGAGAGAGATATGTTGATAACTATTAGGTGAAAGAAGAAAATTTGTCTCTGCTTGTAATTACATTGTGTGAGTACAGACTAGCCCTGTACTCACTCCCCTGAAGATGTGAATTAAGGCTTTTAAGCGCTTGGGAACTTCTGTGTTTTCTTCTCTTTCCTCAGGTTATCAGTATATACCTAGATCACATGCACCTACAGTGATTTACTTATATATATATATATATATATATATATATATATATATATATATATATATATATATATATATATATAAGTACATTGATAAAATCACAAGGTCACCCTGTATATTTTTCTCTCTGTCCATGTAATCCAGTTGCCTCTGAAGATGTCTTGAATAAAGATGAAAGCTAAGGTTTATCGTTGTTTCTCTTTTCCGTGTGATTTTATCAAGATTTATCTTATCACTTTTTATTGTGGAGCTATGATATATATATATATATATATATATATATATATATATATATATATATATATATATATATATATATATATATATATATATATATACATATATATATATATATATATGCTGACATCAGAAAAAAAACTGTGGCAATAACTTATTTCTACAGTATAAGTCATCTAGAACTGCAGCAACATTTTGTTGATTTGTGTTACCTTCATCAGGTCTTTTCTTCGTAATATTGGTGTTAGGTGCGACAACATAGAGACTATGGTTGAGGAGAGCGATGTAGAGGGCGTGGTTAGTGTTGCGGAGGGCGTGGTGAAGGAGGAGGGTCTCCACGCCAGACTTCCCACCCACAACTACCACACGGGTTTTCGGTCTCAGCCATAGTCCACATCGCTCCAGGAACCTGTCGCCCAGTTGGCCAAAGGGAGTGAGTATCTTCACTGATCACGAATGAGTTCATCAATAATGGTGTTCTCAGCAGTATTAAGCATTATTCCCACAAATATTTAATTTCTTTATTCTAAAAAATAAAGTGACAATAATCTACACAATTGAATTGATCTTAATATACAAATTATATAAATACAATAAAATACTTCCCTATAGGACTATAATTGCTGAACCCCCTTCCGCGAGTAATATTTCAAAAATGTTAAGATCTATGAGGCAATAATTTCAGAAGTATCCGTGAACAACATTCCAGCAACATTTGAACCAACGAAAGCATTGTCTTAGAAATATCTGGACCCCCAGAACTCATATCACACACTTACTTGAATTCCTGGAGCTAATATATCAGAACTACCTCAACTCATAGAAATATTTTAGAAATATAAACCCCCAGAAATCAATATATAAGCAATATCGGGGTCTCCATCATTGAATATCTGTGAAATATTTGGAATCCTAAATATATTATTAAAGAAAAATGTGTAACCTTCACAGCTGACATATCAGAACTAACACATTTGACTACTTGATCAGGTGTGTCGCGATCACCCGAAACCAAAATATTCCAGAAATATGTTAAGAACATCGGCGCCTAACCTAACCTAACCTAACCTTCTTAACTAAATTTTACCAAATCTATCTAACCAATATGCAAACCTGGTGTCCTCTGTTGATTAGCGCACCTGACAACAATTTTTTCTGTAAATTCACTTAAGAATCCAATATTTTTTAATGGATATCAATATCTTTTTCATTAATATTAGAATATTTTGTCAATCTAATTTTGCTTATTTTAACGGTTCATATAAAGATTAGACATCCTAGTTTATTTCATTTGTTGATTAGATCCTAACGATCCCTGTGGGGAGGGGTTAGATTAGGTTAAGTTAGGATAGGTTAGCCTAGGGATGAGACACGTTGTGTCATATAGGTGTATACTGTAGTGTCTACCCAAGAACAGTTAGTCAATTAACCGAGGAAATTATGAAATGCTGTACCACATAAATCATATCACTGATATTCCACTGTTGGAGAAGATACAATATTAAAAGACGAGAGCACCGTACAGTATATGGCACACAGCTGAAGAGGACCGGAGGTTACGATCAAAATATGCAGTGGTCTCGTTATTTTGTTTTATATTCTCCCACAGTGGGATTTCAGAATTAGTGGAATTTTAATGAAGTACAGTAAAGAGTTATGGGGTAGATGTATTATGAAAATATGTAGATTACAATAATATTACAGAAAAGGGAAGAGTAAAATTAAAAGTAACGTAAATGATGTGGAAGAAATAGAGGGAACATGATGAGGCCGTTTGTTGAAGAGGGCAATAAAGGAGTTTTTGTCCGTAAAAGTCATTTTCGATATAATTAAAATTCTGAGTACATGGGTAGATAAATGTGCTGACGAAGATATAGCATGAGTTTAGTGTTATAGGAGTCAATATGTGGGTTGTGTACAGTCGTGGGTATGTATAAACGTATATGTTGCACCTGACGATGGAGTGACTCTCCATGGCGGTGTTGTCTAGGATGAGAACGTGACACGAGAGAGTGGCATCACCCCATAGCCCCTGCAGGAGGTGGCGCTCCTCTTGAGTTGGCTGGTCCTGGGAAAACATCACTGTTGTCTCTACCACCACCCCTGTCTCCATCTCCGTCGCCAGATGTCTTTAGTGTGCACAAGAATATAGAAGAACGCTGGAGAAAAAAACCTTACCGCCTCCACCTATAAAAAACTTGTGCAATATCACAAAACAATGATGGTATGAAAGGGAAAAACATAGATCAATTTCGGAAGCAATATGTGTCTGGATAATGCAAAACATATAAGACTTCAGTGAAGATAAAGCATATCATATTCCGCTGATCATAATGAGGAGTTTCTGATGCTACTGTATGTAAACTGTTACACTGAAAATGATAGATTGAAGTAAGAAGCCTTCTGAATTCCGAGAAGTATATGAATCAATCATCGGAAAGAAAATTTACATGAGGACTATCGTGGGACTGGGGGGCAGGGAGGTTGAAGGGAGCTGCTGTTGATTCTTCCATTGTATGTGTTATGGCCCCGCCAGTCACCCACTGCTAGTCGGAATGCAAAGCAAATAGCACTCAAAAATACTAAGAACTCACCTGATTATTTGTGAATAAACTGGGGAGTGTTTTGTTGTGGTGGCCAGCACTAGATGACACCCAAGCAAGTGTTCCCTCACCACCTGGCTCACCATCGTTCCCACCTGTCCATCAGAACGACCCTTCACTGGCACCTCCCAAACCACGCCCACCAGTAGGTAAACCAGCGATGCAAACAGTGAATGTCTCATTTTTCTGGATATAAATTGAACATTGGTTAAAATATTGATTGTCTCATAGTGATAGATGCTTACGTGTGGTATTGTGCGTGTTGCCTGACTGTCTGTGAGCTCTTCTTGTTTTTTTATGTCATAACCTTCAAAATACCGTACACTAAGAAGACCGTGTTATAGTCTTATCGCGTGATGGAGAGATAATTACTGTCGTGCTAGACTATCTGTTGCCTGATAAGTCGAAAAAATATTAAAGTGACAAGGAAATGAAATAATCGCTCGCTTCATCAAGTTGCTTAATAATTTACTGACTGCCATGAATATCAGATATATTAAAACAAATTCCAGATAACTCCAAGTTTTAGTTGAAACTGAGAGTGAAACTTTTATTGAGCCGGAAGTAACATGGGATATTGTACAATAAACGTATTTTTACGCGATTAGGTTAAACTTTTAAAATCACAGCTCTCTTAAAAGCCACCTTAGAAATATGTATGTGTACAATATTGAAAGACACTGCGCGCGCGCACGCACACACACACACACACCTCTTATGTATCACCAGTGCCCAAGTCAACCAGCCCACAATCCTTAAATCAGCTACGACCTATTGCAATCACCCCAATACCCAGCCTAATCTGTGAAAGTTTTGTGTTTGACAGGGCTTATGCTGATATTGCAGGAGTCGTAGACCCTCAGCAATTTGGCAACATGAAAACTTCCTCCACCACTCACTGTCTTGTCAGCTTTCTCGATTACATATACCGCCATCTCGAGAAACGAAAAACGTCTGTAGCTGTCGCCTTCATTGATTTCACTAAAGCGTTCGACCTAGTCGACCACAATATAATCATAAACAAAGCTATTGACCTCGGGCTTCGGAGAAGTCTCATACCATGGCTTACAGACTTCCTCAGTGACCGACGCCAAGCTGTACGCTTCCGAGGGGCTGTCTCCACCTTTCAGTCACTCACCTGTGGCGTCCCCCAAGGCACCAAGATGGGACCACTCTGCTTCCTTATGCTCATCAATGATGCCCTAAGAGAAACCCCTGCTCGCTGGAAATATGTCGACGACTCCACCATTGGGATCAGCGTCAACAATTCTGCTCCCAACTATACCGCCCTTCAGGATTTATTGAACAGTCTCCAAAACTGGGCCACCAACAACCATGTCACCATCAACCATACCAAGACCATGGTTATGCACATCAACCTCTCCTCCGACATTGTCCCACCTCCCTCCATTACCCTAGGTCCGAACACACTCCAGGTTGTAGATTCCACGAAGCTCCTCGGCGTCACCATAGACAACAAACTAAATTGGAAACCACACGTCAGTGAAGTTGTCAAATCCTCCAGTTTCCGTCTCCACCTCCTCCGCCGACTCAAGTCCCTCGGAGTTCCCGCACACGAGCTCCTCAGTGTATACACAACATTCATACTTCCCAAGCTCACCTATGCCTCCCCCACCTGGTCTTCCTCTCTAAATGCCACACAACGTAAACACCTAGAAAAAGTGCAAAAGAGGGCATGCAAGATTATTCTCTCCCCTTCCTACACCACATATCAAGAAGCGCTCAACACACTGACCCTTTCGACTCTCACTGACCATCACCACGGCCTCATCTGCAAATTTGGTAAGAAGCTTCTACACCATCCCCGACACCGGCCCCTACTACCACCTGAGATCCCCTGTCCGAGAATTGCTGTTCGACACCACAACCGCATCCAGCCCATACGTGCACGAACTGATCGCTATAAGAACAGCCCAGTCCCAACCATTGTAAAAATTATCAATAACATGTAATAAATCAGTGTATTCACTCCCAGTAAACACTGCTCCCTACACTGTCACTATGTTGAAATGAACTGTAGTTTGAGCTGATCCCCATCTAAGTTACTATACATCTAAGTTACTATATGTCTTATTTGTGTCACTTATGTCACTTGTATATTATTTGTAATTCGTAACCCATTCCCCAAATATGTAACTGTATATTTTCAGCCTTCTGGCTGCCAAGCTCTTTCAATAAACCGTTAATTATTATTATTATTATTATTATTATTATTACACACACACAAAATACCGTCACGCTCCTCCATCTACCTTCCTACCTTCGCAAAATCTCCACCCCTTTAGCCCCTCCAGTTTTACTAACTCCCTAAAGGACCTACTTCAAATAACCTTCTTAAGAAAGTGTTAATTATAAATGAAGTGTCTTTACTATATCCAGTCTATATCCTGTGTCTCGGTGATGAAGTTACGGGCATGGATAGCCCACTCAATGTTAAATTTTTTGTCCTCCGTTGACGACGACACCAAGCAGCTGGTGAGTAGCAAACACATTAATCCCAATACGCTTTACATGATATTGTGCGATAACACCAGCAGTCAAAGAAAATTATTTGCCTACAGTACTTCAAAGAGTATTCTCCCTTCGGTTCTTCAGTCGGAGCGATGGTGGTAGCTACAGCTTTACACCAGTTTTACACCATCTGGGTCTTTTCGATTTCATGTACCATGTCCAAAAAGTAAAAATAAAACGTGTTTTTCAGTATACAGTAGATTTTCCTGCTAATTCCAAAAATAAAACATAGCTTAATAAAAATAATATATCCTTTCCAAATATAATTTTTCGTCATTTTTATTATTTTTTTTTCGGACAGCAAGAAAATCTACATTAATTTTTTTTTGGGGCTACGGTACATGAAACCAAAAAAATCTGATCTAGCCTAAACTTACCTAAAAAAATATATATAATACAGTATCTTTTTCAAAAATAATTTAAGACTGTAGGTTTTAAGCTTTGGCTGCTACAGCAGACAAAATGAAGATCAAACTACATTATTCCAAGTTGGATTAATAATAATAATAATAATAATAATAATAATAATAATAATAATAATAATAATAATAATAATAATAATGATAATAATAATAATAATAATAACAATAATAATAATAATTGTGATACAAATATTCGCATATACAAATATTTTATTCTTACATCACTTTCCCTCTATACAAAACCCATGGTACAGTCTCGTTCAAGATTCTTCGAACACTGCTGGAGACAGCTGGCAACTCAAGGCCGTTTGTTTACTATAGTACGTAGTATAATATGATACTAAAGAACAATGCCCAACGGGGAACTAAGTAACCAATCACCGATAAGCTTTTACATTAATTCATAATTTTTACTGCATACTATAGTAAACAAACGGCCTTGAGTTGCCAGCTTTTTCCAGCAGTGCTTGATGAATCTTGAACAAGACTGTACCTTCAGGTTATTTACCAAATTTATACTTTATTAATTTCTTAATGCGCTAGGTGCTAAATTAAAGTAATTAGGCACTGAATTACACTAGTTAAGTAGGGTTTTTTGTTGTTTGCGCTGATTTTTTTTTTTTGCTATACATTGGGATTTTTCTTGTAGTTAGTTACTAAACTACAATGGTTACCTGCTAAGTTACAGCAATTGCAAACTACACACCTTATTTCAGTGGGTGACAAAAAAATAATAATTCTAAATGAGATGTTACTTAGAATAGTTCTGGTACATTTTAAGGCAAGCAAGCTTTTATTTGTATATAGAACAAACCTGTATGGTACTGTATATTATTAACTATTTACCATCAAAATCAAATATAGTTTATATATTAAGGCCACATATCCAATTCTCAGTGATGACATACAAGCAAGAACAATGTTTATCATATTAGACAAACTAAATCTTCATGAGATGCACACTCAAGTGCAATCACTATAATTTTTTTAATATGTTGCCTTACAATTAACATATACTGTATCGTTGTATACAATACTGTCTGTTATTAGGAAGGCAAGGTACATTGTTTATTACACATTAGGCAAAATATTAGTTGCACAAATGAAATAACAAAATACTGACAGTGCTTATTGTACCTAATTACTATAATTTAGCACCTAGGCCATTAAAAAAATAATGAAATGTGGCTGTCAAAAAGAAGGTTGGAGGAAGGAGGACTTACTTTTAAGGCTCTGACAAAATTTTCTTATGTGAGTAAAAAGTGTGGTACTTGTTGTGTAACGACCACGGTCGTACACGTCAGTTAACGCCAAAATCAAATGATTCATATTACGCTCCATAGCCCACAAAACATGTACCTCTGCTTTTATTTTGAGTCCTCCATCTGAGGAGTCCGTTTTCTGATCACTTCAAGACGCCTCAGTCCTCCGTTATCCCATTTTCTCTGACTTACTGAAACCAACCTCTCTATATAATAAATTTGAATGTGAGAGAGAACACCTTTGTTTTGAGTCAACTTAGATATGTCTGTTTACAGTTGGAACATTCAAGATCCAGTGTGAGTGGGGTTGAACGCTTCAACTGTCCTTATTGTTAGTAAGACGTGTCAAGTAAGCGAGTGTTGAGTTTGCCAGCTAGAGTGGCGTATTTTAGGTCGTCCTTGGGGGATATCCATGGGTTTCTGATCGCTACTGAAGTTATATTGTTTTGTTGCCCCGACATCAGAGAATCTGATGTTCATAGTTTAGTTAGTGTCAGTTGTCTATTTAAGGAAGTTATTAATCTTCTGAACAGTTCCTGTCAAACTCAAAATTCTCCCAGATTTAACGGCCGTTTGACCGGGGATGTGGTTTGCGGTCAGGTCAATAGAGTTGAGAACGCATATATAACTTCAATTCACCTCTTTACTGACAAACTCAACCTCTGATTAAATTATAAATATAGATGTAGAAAATTAGCCTGATCTGTGACACTGACGGTCACTTTTAATTTTTTTACTTTTATCCTCTTCGCCACTGATCGGCTTGTTAGCCGCTTGGGCGATCGGTCACGACTCTTTTCCTTTATATTCTTCACCAAAAGGTCGGCTCGCTAGCCGCCCGGGCGATCGGTCACGTCTCTGTCACGCACTGTTGGCAAATACTGGGCATGCACCGGCTCCTGAATGTACCTGAACCCGCTCCAGTGTTGGTCAAGTCTTCTCTTGAAAGAGCTCACACTCGGTGCCGTCACAACACTTTCTGGTAGATTGTTCCAAGAGTTTACAACCCTCACTCCGAAAAAGTTTGCCCTCACGGTTTTCCGGACTTGCGGCTTCTTCAATCTTGAGCTGTGACCCCTTGTGGGGCGAGCGTCCGCCAGCTCCAAGTAAGGACACTCAACTGAGTAGTGCCCCCTGAGATGCTTATAAACCTCAACTAGGTCCCCCCTTGCCCGTCTGTAGTATAAGCTAGGCAAGTTCAGGCGCTCCAATCTCGCAGGGTAGCTGAGATGCCGAAGTGCAGGCACCAGCTTGGTGGCCCTCCTTTGAACATTTTCAACCAACTGACAGTCCCTAGCATATCTCGGGGACCAGATGGGGTGACAGTACTCCAGATGGGGAAGCACTTCACTCCTGAAGATCGTCACGAGGGACGGACCGTCTAGATATCTGAACGACCTTCTTATAAGACCCAATAATTTATTTGCCTGATTTACCTTCTTCTCACAATGGCCCGAGAACTTCAGCTCATTGTCAACATACACACCTAGGTCCTTCTCACACACAGTCTCAACTAGTACATTTTCTTCATCCCGTTGGGACATATGGTACGCCTCCTTACCGTTGGTACGCCCCAGGTGCATCCTCTTACACTTCGTGACATTGAATCTCAGCAGCCATTCCTTCGACCATTCCTGGAGCCCACAGAGGTCCTTCTGCAGCTCTTCACAGTCCGCTTGGTTCTTAATTTCCCGAAATAACTTGGCGTCATCGGCAAACATTTGTATGGAGGAGTGTACAACGTCAGGCATATCATTTATGAAACAAACAAACAACAGCGGGCCCAATACACTACCCTGCGGTACCCCACTTGTTACAGGTACAGATGACGATTTCGTGCCATTAATCACCACACATTGCTAGGTGTCCAACGACTACTGTGAATAGAGGGTCTATTGTTAGTGAAATTTATCTTTCTAATAGGAATATGCCCTCAGGCCCGTATATATGCAGGCGCGCGAGGGGAAATCACTCCTTCTGTGATTTCTCCTCCACGTCTCCAGGTATGTTCACGTGTGTTCCACGCCGCCATATTAACTCAGTTTAACTTAGTCATTTTTTGTGAATATCAGTGTTCATGTGAGTCAAGTAAAGTAGGGGTCTAGCTATCGTCTGAACCGGTGCCAGACGTATGTTTTGTATAGTGAAGTTAAATATTCAGTCCTTCTGTGATTTCTCCTCCACGTCTCCAGACGCGGATGTGTTAGCCACTCTCCTGAGGGTCGATAGCTACCTATGGGCAAGATGGTTCTTGAAGACTGTCTCTAAGGGGGCGCATTTAGAATCCCAGGACACGATTCCCCCGGGAAGCGCCCTCACCACTCTGCCAGTGTGTAACGAGTCAACCTCCCTGAGTGCACCTAGCGAGCGAGCTTTCAGCTTGGCGGTTGCTGTAAACATCTGTGCCCGCTGACTCCACCTGGAGATTGTACTTCATCTATTGCATGGAGCAGTGTCGGCCCATGTTTGGAGGGATAACTAGCAGAAATATAGTATCCCGGGTTAAGTATTGAACCCCTGAATGAGAGTTCAAGGTACCAGGTGGTTCCTTGTGAAGTGATAAGAAATATTGTATGTTACTAATTGTGGAATTGCCCAGTGTGTTATGTATTCATCTGTAGTACCCATGAAAGAATAACCTGAGAGTATCATGCTCTAATCAAGAAGTGGAGAGGTAATTTGTTACTTGTTAAAGTAAGACCTGAGGGTCCAGTGATGGCTTGTGAATAATAGTACGGAATCTCATGTATCAAGGTAATGATATCCCAATTGTCTAATAAAGTAATGAGTATTTGGAGGTGTTGAATGAGGTAATAAGCTCTTGAAGTGTTTGATGATTTAATAAGTTAATTGCGGTTCTGTTTAGCCTGAGTGAATCTAAGATGCATCTTCTCCACTCACTGTGTTAATAAATATTGAATTAGTAATCTGAGTATCACCACTCTACTCCTTCTAAACATTGGTTCCCAGAAAATAATACTTACTCACGTGCCTAGACATCTACCACACTACCCAACAACTTTCCATGAGTTATGTTATATAATGAAAAGTCTGGGTGGTGGCAGCTACCCTTTGTAAGTATAAAAAGTGTTGTACAAAGAATAACATGGTTCCCCAGACTAACCCATGTATAAGAAAGACATAAAACAAAGTATACTTCAGAAAGGAAAGAACATTGACTTGGAAAACATAAGTAGAGAAGCATAAGAGTTACTTGTATAAGAATATAAGGTATATAGAGATAAAGAACATATCAGAATATGAGCAAGAATACATAAGAATAATATATATATATATATATATATATATATATATATATATATATATATATATATATATATATATATATATATATATATATATATATATATATATATATATACATATATATGTAAAGAATTGAAGAAGAATAAGTATATAAAACAGGGTACTCATTGGAAAGAGTACTACACAGAACATATAAGTATATGAATAAATAGACTACTAACAGAAAAGAATATAAGGTATATAGAGATAAAGAACATATAAGAATATATAAGAATAGCTGGATGGTAAATTATTGAAAAGAGAAAATTCGGCCCGTTACAGTTGTGCCCTGAAAAAAAAAAAAAAATAAACCACCCTTACAGCGATTCCCAATTAGGGGTAAATTATCCCCAAAGGAAATAATTTGAAATTTTTACGGAAGTAACGACAGCCCATGAGATATATCCTTATTCTTCCTGCTTCTTGATTCTATACACCACCACTGGTTATTCATATGTCAGACACGTCTTGGACACGGCAGAGTTAGTACCTCTTGCCTCACTCTCCCACGGCGGAACCCCGTCTGCTTCACGTACTGAACACGACAGGTCTAGTCATTTTAGTCTAATGCAGTGCCGCCCATCACATTCCTCCAGTCTCCTGTCTCGATTCGGGCATTCCAAAGTACTGGGTGTAGTACTCTTGGCAACTTAAGTGGTGGGTATTCAGAGAAAACATTCTTTGGTTGTTTGTAAATAGCCAGGTTTATTTCCAAAAGTGTAAATCATGATAATGAAGGAAGTGACCTTAACCAAAAATAGAATGAAATAAGCAGGCGCCAAGTGATAATCTTACCTAGGCGTCACCGACGACTTTCTCTCACGGCAGCCTGGACCACACTCTGCTACCCACATCCCCCGACACCCACATGGACTCCTGGAGCACATCACTGCCGAATGTCACCAGTGTTTTATTCTGATCAAATAATAAACTGAAGCTGTTAAAAAATTAACAGCACTTTTCTTTTGCCCAAGACAGACTAACCGATCCAAGAACACTTAAAAGCACTTAATTTGTACATTCATTTCAGATGAGACTATAGGAACGATCAAGAATATACTGTACACTTATAGCACTCATTAAGGTCAAGAATATTGTTAAATTTGAACTCATTTAGGAGCTACTAGGGCCAGAGTCCTGAACCATCATATACCAAGACTCTACACGACGCAACAGCTTCCTAATATTAGCAAGTTTTTATATTTTGGTTTTCTTTATTCTTTTTTAATCTCGTTATATCATTTTGTTCAACTTATCTGGACATAAATAAGAATGAACTTGTTTTTCATAATTCATATAGACAAGTGACACAGGAGCCATACTCCCAAGGAAATGTGCTATTTTTGCTGATGATTTTAACGAGGAAAGGAAATGAGAGAAACTAATAAATTGATAAGTTATGTGAAAAATAAATTTTCTTCTCTTTATTTTGACCTGGAGTACAGGTCAACCAAAATTATATATATATATATATATATATATATATATATATATATATATATATATATATATATATATATATATATATATATATGTAATATTCAGACATTTCAAATGCCCCGCCATTAGCGATACTGAGCGTTCAAGGTCGTCTGAGGGAAGAGAGCGCTCCCCGCCCATAGAGAGAGATTGTGGAACTAGGCCTAAGTGATATTAAAAGTAATTTGCCGAATTAATAATGATGCGATTCATGAAGTTAAGGGACTATTATTGAATTTGAAATTAGTATAGATCGTTTATCAGTCTGAATAATGTTACGGGTGTCCCAAGGAGTTATTAGTTAGGCGGAAAATATGTCACGTAGGCCTAAGCTAACGCCTTGAGAGGAGACGCGACGCTGGCTGGTCCTCAGTCACAGGGAGCATTCAGACAAAACAAGATGTCCCTGCGCGTCCGTCACAGAAATAGTCACGTGGCCTAGTCACCTGTGTTGCACTATTGCAGTATAACAAGTAAGTCTCATTCGATCTCAGACAGGGTTAGATAGGGCAGTGGTAAAGTAAACTAGAGCTAACAGTGAGTTCATTTCAGGGTTTCCGTCAGAACCCACTTGACCGGAGTTGACCGGAGTTTGACTGCGAGAGATTGACTGCCGTTTGAGACTGCCGTTGATGATTGAGGGTGGCGATTGTCGCCATTGGACCGATCAGTGTAGGCCTGTCACTGTTTAGCGGGGTATCAAAGGATCTCTTGAGGGAATCTAGCCGTCTGGGTGCCCAGCTGACGACGGGACGATCGTTGGGTCAGCAGCTCTCCTCTACCTCGGCTCACAACACCACATGTCTCGAGCAGCTTAGTGAAACCCTCTTGCTAACGGGAAGCTAAAGCTTCTCTCAACTGTACAAGGTCTGATTGGCTCACTCCCTTCCGCTTTATGGACGCACTGGGAGTACACTGAGGCTATCTGAGTAAATTAATGGTCACACACTGAGACCGTGAGTCTAGGACTCTAGGAGATACCTAGAGGAACATTTTATCTTCCTTATTACGGGTGTAGTTAATACCATTTCTCAGTTACTGATATTATCTTGACGTGTGTAGTTTAATATTTCTTAAATAATTTTGACAGTAGTGTTTTTTGAATGTTTGTGTCATTAAGTGGAACCAGAGTGATACTGTGATTTGATTCTTTTAATGCATCTAACTTTTCTTCATAATTCTGATCTCAGGTATAACCTTTGTTCCCCAGAGTAGTGGTTAAGTTAGGTTAGGAAGAGTGCATCTGTTGGGGTGATATAATTTTGTTGAGTGCCCTTAAGGCCTATTCATTGTAGAGTATTTAATTTCTTATTTTTTATTACCATTTCCTTAGTGACTGATATTATTTTGTTGAAAGCCCTTAAGGCCTATTCATTGTAGAGTATTTAATTTCTTATTTTTTAATTCCATTTCCTAAGTGACTGATATTATGTTGTTGAAAGCCCTTAAGGCCTATTCATTGTAGAGTATTTAATTTCTTATTTTTTATTACCATTTCCTCAGTGACTGATATTATTTTGTTGAGTGCCCTTTAGGCCTATTCATGGTGGAATTAATAAATTCTTATTTTTATACCACCTCCGCAGTGGGGGATATTATTCTGTGAAAGCCCTTAAGGCCTGTGTCATGTGTGCAGGCAACATTTCTTAATACTTCAAATTTATTGTTGCCTGAGTTTCTAATATTTTCTATATCATGTATAACTTTTATTCCCCAGAGTAGTGTTTTAAGTTCAAGTTAAGAGGTGGGCATATTGGTGTACCATTATTTGATTGTGTTTGTAGTGTTGGAGGGAATATAAGTGTCTAAATTTTACAGTGTGTCTCATTCATCCCAGTCACAGACGCTATCCTTCCACGGGTCACGGACAATTCATTTTGTTTAGTAGATTTAAGTGTTCTTGTGCTGGTTCGGGATTTTTCTCAAAGGGGCGCTTCCACTGCCATTACCATCTATTAATCTTTAATAAACCCCCAAGTCCAGTAAATTCCGACCGGTTACATATATATATATATATATATATATATATATATATATATATATATATATATATATATATATATATATATATACTGATAACCATAAGGAAACATAAAAAAAAAACCACGAAGTTTCCAAGCGCTTTTGTGTAATTCACATCTTCAGGGGTGAGTACAGACTAAGGAGTAATACTTGACAAGGCTAATATATACAGTAGAGGAGAGTGAGATCAAGTCCCTATGGGACAGCAGATGTCCACAGTGTTCCGGTCATAAAGCAGTGACCCTTACTAATCTTCTTAATAAAAAAAAACTGACCATGCCATCTCTAAGCACAGCAGCTGACCGTAGTCAGGCTATAGGGTAAGATGACCCAACCTTCTCACTTGGTTACAAATCTTCTTAATCACAAAATTATCCAGTTTGTACATACCATTACTCAAATCATGTTGATATATTCGGTATGTTTAATGAGACTAGATTTTATAATGTTCCTACTGACAATTGAATTACAAGGTAATATTGAGGAGGCATTATCCCAGTCAATGCAATGCTTATTATCTCTCATATGAATGAACAGAGCATTGGATGCCTGGCCTGTCCTAACACTATATTTATGCTGTTTAAATCTAGTTATAAGATCTTTACCCGTCTGGCCTAAGTAGAACATATGACATTCCTTGAAAGGAACCTTGTAAGTGCAGCCGCCTGCATTGTTGGGGGAGTTCTTAATTAACATTTGTTTTACAGTGCATGAGTTTTTAAATGTCACATTAACGTTCCAGGTTTTCAGTTGTATAGGAATTTGAGATAAATTTTTGTTAAATGGTAATACCTAGAGATTCTTATTGTCATGGGTCTACCCTCTGTCGTGGAAACAGCAACCCTCAAAACTGAGTGACAGGCGCACCTCCTACTCTATCTGGGAATCACCCTCAACAGTACCGGTCATCCTAATTCTGTTGGTTGTAACACTTGTGAGTACGAGTACGTTCCCCCCACTATTATAATTTTCATAGATCTTCCTTTTTCACACCTCAGTGACCCTAAGTTTTTATTGTTCCTTAATCAGTATCAATGTTCCCACAATGATGATGCTAGTGTCATTCCCTTAGATGTGCTAGATAGTATGTGTTACTCCCCAGTTAACCATGATGTCGTCACAATACTCCCTCATATCGATCCTGATGCCTTTCTACAAAAATCACTGGGTTACACCAACCCCAACTGTAACTATTACTTTCCTGACTCTCCCGAGTTTACTTCTAGTCTTCTACCACCTCTTTCCTTTTCCTTGACTAGCCATAACATCAACGGTATTCCACTTCATCTAGATACCTTTTTAGATCAGTGTTTATCTTCTATTGCCCACAAATTTTATGTACTTGGGTTCTGTAAGAAATAAATATATAAATAAATATATAAATATATAAATATATATATAAATATATAAATTATATATATATATATATATATATATATATATATATATATATATATATATATATATATATATATATATATATATATATATATATATATATATATATATATATTTTGAAGTGATAACCGTGGTAACATTATGAGATGTTCTTATTACCACCATGTGATTGTACTATTCCATGTGATACTAAATGTTACATAATACTTCCTTGAGATAAATTTATAGTGCATATCAGGTGCCTCAGAGAGCTCAGGTTCTCAACTGGCTCAGCCATGTTAATATTGTTATTATTATCCACTCTGTATCTGTGTTTTTCTGGCTAAATAAACTGTTTCAATTCAATTAAATTAAATTCTATTCAGTGGTGGTGTCGCCCTATATGTTAATATCAAGTATAACATTTCTGTAAGATATGATTTACAGGTTCAGGAGGAGTACATGGGGAGTGTTTTCATTGAATTACGTAACGAAACACGAAATATCCTAGTAGGAGTAATCTACAGAAGACCCCACACTAATGTAAGGAATTTTCTTGATAAATTTTCGGAGCTTATCACTATCATAAGTTCAGAGAGGAAACGTTGCTACTTTGCAAGAAATTTCAACCTTGATCTATTAAAATGAGAAACCGACACCTCAGTATTAGACCTTCTTGCTACCTATCATTTTAAACTCTTCTTCAACACTATAGCCAAACCCACTAGAGTAACTGCACCTCTGCCACTGTGATAGATCATATCTGACTAACAACACTCCTAACAATCTTGCAAGTGGAATTATTTATAACAATATCTCAGATCACTTCCCAGTTTTTGCCATGTATAAAATAGCCACAAGACTACTGCACGGACAACATGCTCCTTTTTAAAACAACCTAATGAATGCTAACTGGGATCTTGTCTATGCCTCCGACAACCCTCACGTTAACAGCTGCAACTTCTCTTGCATCTTCAATATTTGCTTTGATAACTGTTTCCCGCTGTAT